CCACACCCCTTCTCCACCATTCGTCCCCCCCCCCCCAAATTGCCTTTCCCAGGAGATGACGCCGGCTTCCTCCAGTCGGCCTACAACAACACGGTGTGTCAGACACCCAACCTGGACAAACTGGCAGCCAGGAGTCTCACCTTCACACAAGGCTATACCAGTGTCAGTAGTTGCTCTCCTAGTCGGTACGTTTGTCTGTCTGTCTGTCTGTCTGTCTGTCTGTCTGTCTGTCTGTCTGTCTGTCTATAGTCTTGCCTTTACACAAGACTATACCAGTGTCAGTAGTTGTTCTCCTAGTCGGTACGTTTGTCTGTCTGTCTGTATATCTGTTTGTTCTTTGCAGTGCCGTCAGGCAGGATGTAAAAAGGGTGGGGTTTGCTGTGACCAAACTTTGGGATCGCTCAGATAATAAAGGATGCGTAATGACTAAAGAGACTGTGAAATAAGCACACAAAAAAAGCAACGTGAAAATATAAATAAATTCAAAAATATTACAATCTTAAGACCTTAGTGTCTTTATAAATGTATCATTTATGTCCTTCAGTTTTTATTTCGAGAAAATTTGTTGATGACATTTTCGTTTGAATGGTGCATCCTTCTTGATGAACCGTTCATAATTAAGGTATCTCTTTTGATTTCCATCCACATCAGGATGCGAAGACTGTGCTGTTTAATGTGACCTCATTCTTTTGGCATTGAGCTTAGCTCCACGTAACAAAGAACAATTAATGCAAATTTCCGAAAGTAGTCCACACGACACATTGCTACATTGAAGAAAACACATAAGACTCCAATTTTAAACTACTTCAACTCACTAATACAATGGTGCCTGTTTCATAATTTATATGATCTCCACGCACAGAACACAAGTGTACATGATGGCACGAAAGAGATCACCAACAGCTAACACACTCAAAGCTTCATTCAAGTGTACATACACACACACACACATACACATACAAACACTCACACACACACACACACACACACACACACACACAAACAAACACACACACACAATCTAAACGCAATGGCATCAACACAACTCGACTTAACCAAAGAATACCCAGAGGGCCGAGAAAAAGAAAGGTTTACAGGGGGGAGGGGGGTTGCGTGCTCAGTCTACGCTTTGGTCTGGATCTACGAGGGTGTGCAAACTAGATATAGGTGACAATGGTCAAGCAATATCTGGGCACGTGACACAGTGCGTGGATGCGGCTTCAGCCCCCACAGCTGTATAGAGCCATCAATTGTTTTGTCTCGGCCTTGATCCGTGCAAAGTCAACACCCCTGTTATATTCAGTCTGGGGTACTTAAGCACTAGGGCTATGGGACAAACCTACGAAATTTTATTCTCCTCGATGGAAGGAGCGCCTGATTGAAGGGAGCATTATTGTAGTAAATGATATTTGTAATAGTAGACACCCAGACCAATCAAATCACTTTTCGAGCTATTATGCCTCAAAAGTTTCTTTTGATAGTTTGTGGAGTTTCACTTTTTCTCGGATTATTATTATTATTATTATTATTATTATTATTATTATTATTATTATTATTATTATATTTTGTGCTTTTTAAAATTCTTGTGAAATTTTTTGTTTTGATTTTAGTCCGAGAAGTAACTTTTTTGAAAGGAAACCAGGTGGGGCTGAAGCTGAAAGCCCAAACCCCATAAGACGCCCTTGTTTGCTTGATTGTATGTAACAACAACAACAACAACAACAACAACAACAACAACAACAACAACAACAACAAAATCACTACCCTCCCCACGCCACAACTACTATCACCACCCTCCACCAGCACAACCACCACAACAAAAACACTGTTCCTCCTCCCAGCTCTGTCTTCTAAAAGGTTTGTTCCACCACGACCACCACGACCACCCCATACCATCACCGCAACAACAACAAAACCCCCAACCCCCCGCCACAATGACACTACCACCATCACCACTACCACCACCACCATCACCACTACCACCACCACCATCACCACCTTAAAAACAACAATAACAAAAATCCCCCCTCTCCCCACCCCCCAGTTCTGTCCTTCTGTCAGGCATTCCCCAGCACCAGAATGGGATGTACGGACTACGTCACATTCCCCACCATTTTGTAAGTTTTGATGACGTCAGGAGTCTGCCACTCGTCCTGGCCTCTCATGGCATTAGAACAGGTACTGACGTCATCATCATCATCATCATCATCATCATCATCATCATCATCATCATCATCATCATCATCATCATCATCATCATCATCATCGCCACCACCACCAATACTAACACCTCTCTCTCTCTCTCCACTTACATCTTTCGGGTACTTCGCAGAACATGTGACGGGTGTTCGGGCTTTGGAAAATGAATGAGAAGGATATTAGGGCAGACGGGATGGGGTTGGGGTGAGGGGGGGGGGGTGAGCAGCTGTAAAAGGTGACAAAGAACAAAGGCAAGAAAATAAAATTCACTCATTAGTTAAATTAGCAAACACTAAAATATAGATCTTGTCATTGTTATTCATATTATCTTTTTGTTACATCTTTATGTTGAAATATCGCGGTACCTACTCACTCGCATTTTCATAGTCAATGTTTGTCTGATAGGAATAAAAACATGACATCGAAAAGATCATAAGGAACACTGGACCAAAGAAAAGAAAAGGTGCAAAGATTGGGAGGTTGGCGAGGGGACAGGGAAACAGGGTCTTAGTTTGATCGATTCTTCCAAAATGTTTTTGTGTTAGCTATAATAGGTTTGATGGCAGTTGGAGACTTTTGCGAAGTTGAATTTTGCGTTTTACCCAACTCTGATGGACATTTTAAAAACTTAACAGTTCTCGAAAAGGTAAATGGATTTGTTTCATATTTACAAACTTTTATGACCCCCCCCCCGCCCCACACACCAAGCTGAATTTTATTTATTCGAAGTTTTGTTAAAAATAGTGCTCTGACGACCGAGTTATTGTCTTTAAATGGGTCCTCTTTTTTAAAGACAAACTGTACTTGAAGAAAGCAAATTAAAAAAACAACGACATTTGCTACAACAACAGCAACAATTCAAGACCAATACAACCACATCCCCAACCACCAACCACCCACCACCACCCTGTATCCCCCCAGGTCTGATCGGCAAGAAGCACGTAGGACCACCAGAGGTGTATAAATTTGACTACGAGCGGTCCACAGACCAGTACATCAATGATCAAATAGGACGTAACATCACGTTCATGCATGGATTTGTTAAGGAATTTCTTCAGGCCAAGGACGACAGGTGAAAAATGGACCACTATAACCACCCACCACCATCACCACATTCTTTCTTTCTATTCATAAAACTGTCGTGTCAAGAAATCAAATGCCCTTTTAGCAATTTGTGGTAGGATAGAAGCTCAAACAACCTATCTATGAAGACTTTTATGTATCTCTATCAAATAGTATTATGTGCAAATTTGAGAGCAAATTTGTCAGCACTCTCTATAAAGGTCAGAATATCCACATCGTTTACAGGATGCCCATTCACCTCTTCCTCCTCCTCCTCCTCCTCCTCCTCCTCCTCCTCCTCCTCCTCCTCCTCCTCGTCCTCCTCCCCCTCCTCCTCCTTCTTCTTCTTCTTCTTCTTCTTCTTGTTCTTCTTGTTCTTCTTGTTCTTCTTCTTGTTCTTCTTCTTCTTCTTCTTCTTCTTCTTCTTCTTCTTCTTCTTCTTCTTCTTCTTCTTCTTCTTCTTCTTCTTCTTCTTCTTCTTCTTCTTCCGGTTATCATTGAAAAGATTGCTGATTGCATAACGAATATTTTCCTCTTTACTGTATTAAATTTATAAAATAATTTCCTTTTTTCTCTGTTGGTTTAGAGCCTAGAACCACAAGGGTGTTGGCGCTGTAAAAGTGATCGTCACTGTAATCATTTATCGCCCTCTTTTCAGACCGTTCTTCCTATACATCGGTTTCTACGACTCACACCGCACCAGGCCCCAGGACATTGAAACATTCGGCCCCTTCCATAACCTCTGGGGTACCGGAAAACCTGGCATGGGCCTCATCAAAGACTGGACCCCACAGGTCTATAACCCCGATGACGTCATCGTTCCTTATTTCTTGCCAGACAATGACGTCACGAGACGGGACATAGCGGCGATGTACACGTCATTCGGCAGGATGGACCAAGGTCAGACGGGGGGAAACGGATGTTAATTGTGTTGGCACTAGGTCATAGGTCACGTCAGAAACTGGTGGTGTCTTTGCATTAATCAGGTCACATTAGAAACTGACGTTGCTCGTATTCTGATTGGATCACTCAGGGAGTTGTTGGCGTTAGTGTCCTAACTAGGTCACACAAGAAACGGGGTTACTTTGTTCTATCTAGTTCACATTGTTATTGTTTGTGTCCATATGAGGTTTTTCAGGAAACTGCTGAAGTTTGTGATCTAATTAGGTCACACAGGAAAATTGTTATTTACGTTCTAAGTCACACAAAAACCTCACTGTACAGTGATGTTTGCGTTGTAATTAGGTTACACGTCTGTCTGCCAGTCTGTCTGTCTGTCTGTCTGTCTGTTGTTGCTGCCGTTCTAATTAGGTCATGCGCAACAGAAGAAACGGTTGGTGTTTGTGTTCTAATTGTGATCACGCGGCTAACAATTGTTGTCTGTGTTCTACGTTTTAAACCCCATATACATGTATATGCTCATTCCCCATTCCTATCTTCAACTCCCTCCCCCACCCCAAACTCTATACAACCCCATCTCCATTTCAACTGCTTTCCTCTATGCCCCCCCCCCCCTCTCTATATCCACCCTCCAGGTATCGGCCTATTCCTCAGCGAGCTAGAGAAAGCCGGATATCTGGATGACACACTGATTATGTTTACGGCTGACAACGGTATCGCTTTCCCTAACGCCAAGACGAACCTCTATGAGCCAGGCATGGGAGAGCCCATGATGATCTCTACACCACAGAACAAACACTCATGGGGACAGGTGATAGATAGATAGATAGATCGATAGATAGATAGATAGATAGATCGATAGATCGATCGATAGATAGATAGATAGATAGATAGATAGATAGATAGATAGATAGATAGATAGATAGATATATAGATAGACAGATAGAGAGGGAGAGAGGGGGGAGAGAGAGACACAGAGAGAGAGAGAGAGAGAGAGAGAGAGAGAGAGAGAGAGAGAGAGAGAGAGAGAGAGAGAGGGGGGGGGGAGAAGAGAAACAAATACCTATCCCCCCTCCCAATTTTCAATTCTCTGGCGCACAAGCACTATAACCCACTCGCCCTTCCCTCTTCCCACGTTCTAGTTCTCTGACGCACTAGCCAGCACTATGGACTTCACCCCCACAATCCTGGACTGGTTCGGCGTCCCTTACCCAGACTACGCTCTCAACGGTCTGAAGGTCAGCCTAACAGGACGCTCACTACTTCCTCTGACGTCATCACACCTGGGGGCGGAGCAGGATTTTAGTGTGGTGTACAGCAGTCATGACTTCCATGAGGTGAGCTCGGATTTAAATGTCATTTTTTTCTGACCATCTTTCCAGGGTGACCACAATGGCGTAATACAATTAATGCCTGCCTGGCCTGCCCCACGATGATGTAACACAACTGTCCGTCTGCGACACGATTACGCAATGCAAATGTCCATAATCTGTCTCATGACGGCGTAATACTAGTCCCATAATGACGTAATACAAACGCCAGTCTGTCCTATGATGACGTAATACAAATGCTCGTCAGTCACATGAGGACGTTGTACACATGTCCGTCAGTCTCGTGATGGCGTGATACAAATTCTTGTCTGATCCAGGTCAATGCCCGTCTGTCCCATGAAAACATAATACACTTGTCTGTCTGTTCCTCAATGACATAGCACACATGACCGTAATGCCACAATGACGTAGTACGCGTGAGATCCGTTTCCCCCATCGCGAACTAGAGTCTAGGTCTCTATGGTTTGCCCATAGGCCTTCTCAGACAGCCTAGGTTTGCCCCCATGATGACGTAACACACATGTCCGTCTGTCCAACAGGTGACCATGCCGTACCCAATGCGTGTATTACGTCAAGGGCAGTACAGACTTATCCATAACCTCAACAACAGGATGCCCTACCCTCTGGCCTCGGACTTATTCTACTCGCCAACCTACATGGAGATTCTTAACAGGTATCTGGCTTTTGCTTTAAGATTTGTTTGTTCGTTTGTTTGTTAACGGTTCGTATTTTTTCTTTTTTTCGGGGGGGGGGGGGGGGGGTGGTTGTTGGCGTGTCTCTGTTTTTTTTTTTTGGGGGGGGGGGGGGGGTAGGGTAGTTGGGTTTTGTATTTTCACGCTTGGTGGCATTCTCACTTTTGTTTTAATATTTTAGATACAATTTTTTAAAAAAAAGAAGTAGGGTCATGTCTGTATTTGATTGTCTTTGTCTATTTTGTTGTTGTTGCCGTTTTCTATTGGAAGGCAAGGGTGGTTTTGGGAACAAAAGCATTTTTCCCTCATGCAAAATCGAACCCATCACTTCAACCGGTTGGCTGAGTGCACAACCACCTTCGCCAAAATGTGTTGTCAACTCGTTAAAATATAAACGGTGAAAATCATAAGTACAGAACTCTGCTGTAAAACTCGAGAGCGGGTGGTTGGCGGATGCTCCAGTTGTGGCTTTCTCCTTCTTTCCTTTCAAACGTCTATCGTCCATATCTCTCCTCCTTTTAGGGTTTGTTACTTTCTTATAACATCTCTTTTCTTCCCCATTTTAATGACCTACTTGTAATGCAAGTGCCGTAAAAACGCTTACCAAAACTAACTAAAAACTCGAGATTTTTTACGTATGTCTCAGCTAACACCGGATTCTCAGCTTTTGCAAGCACACAGGTAAATGGTAGATTCTAAACGTTTTCCGCCACTGTCCACACAACGTCGATAGTTTAGGTTTCGGTTCGATCTTGCCTGTCAGATTCAGCTCAGACAGAGAGGGATACAGCTTCCAGCGGACAGAATGGGATACCCAATAAAAAAGTTAAATACTTCCTCATATTATGGTCGCTTTTAAGGACAAGCGAGCTAACTCAAATTTCGGGGGTTTCCAAAAATCTTGACCTAAACCAAAAGTGGGCATTTCATTGATGTATATATTCGTTTTGTTATAGAGAAAACTATCCTTGTCTATTAAAGAAACTTAACAAGGGGCAAAAACGTTACCTTCGATTTTCTCAAAACAGCATTTTTCGGGATAGCCCTCTTGTGCTTAAAAAAGCGACCATGCGACAATCACACTCAAGTCTTCTGCGTGCAGAACCGCAACAAACAAACAGAAAAACCCCCCCAGTACACACACAAATTCTTTTACTTCTCCCCAGAACCAAGGCCGGAATCCCTACCAAGTGGTTCAAAACCTTGCAACAATACTACTACCGAGATGAATGGGAGCTCTTCGACCTCACCTTTGACCCCGAGGAGCTGCATAACTTGGCCTATGAACCCAGCCACGCTGACGTCTTGTCCGGAATGAAGAAGAAGTTGATTGAGTGGCAGTGGCAGACCAACGACCCCTGGGTCTGCATGCCTCATGGGGTCCTTATTCTAGGCCAGTGTTACCCCATGTTGAACGAACCGGCTAAATGAGATGTTGAAACGACCCGCTAACAGTGACGTTCAACCAGCCTAGAATTTAAGATATTTGATTAACCCGCTAATAAACATGTTAAACCAATCACAAATGAGCTGTTGAGCCAGCCTGTTAGCAGAAATGCTCAACCAACCCTCTGACTGAAATGTTCAACCAACCTGCGAAATGAGATGTTCAGTTAACCTGCTTATAGAAAGGTTTAACAAACTCGTTACATGTAACTGACAGATATTTAGGTTTGACCTATCCACCCATAGACGGGCACTGTGACCACAAGTTCCTCCAACCAGCTAAAATGACAGACAGATAATCAACCCGCTCGTTACCTATTATTTTAAATTAATCCGCTAACCGACACCACATAAATCTTCAACCAACTCATTAGATCTAACCAACGACCAGATGTTCAACCGACCCACACATAGACATTTATAATTTATTTGTTTGTTTGTTTGTTTGTTAGTTTGTTTGTTTGTTTGTTGAGTAAAAAGAAGCACATCGATACAGTAATTGTCATATCATCGTGGTAGGAAAAAGTAAGATAGACAGACAGACAGAAGCAACAGAGAATGTAAAGACGTAGGACGTACCAGTGACGCCACCCAGCCACGCATAGACAGAGAGTGTTACTACATGTTTAATCTAACCAAACATTATTAGTCCTATAATATTATAGCCACAAGAGACAAAGAGTGCAAAGAGCTTGGCGAGCTGTTTGATAATTTGTTTGTTGTTTATATGTTACTTTGGTTGTTTTTAAGAATAGGGTGGGATTGTTTGTTCTTTTTAAAGAATTTCTTTTGAAACTATGTTATTCTTTTGTTTATACACACACACACACACACACACACACACACACACACACATATATATATATATATATATATATATATATGGTATATATTTTTTAAAGGCCATCTACCTCTGACACACCATCCAATTTTTTTGGGGGGGGGGGGGGGGGGGGGTGTAGAATGATTCAGTTACAGTTGCTTAATGTAACGATGATTCTAATCCCTCAAAATACGTTTTTTTCTAAATTTTGCATGTGTTTTGTCTTTTTTAGATGATTTTGTATGGCACGTTTGTACATAATATAATAAAATAAAGCACTTAAAAAAAAAAGAAAGAATTATAATAAAATACTCCAATTTAATCCATTCCATATTCTGACACTTAAATTCTAAAGCTTTATTTGTCTTCATATCATTAAAATTTGTCTTGTTAGATTGTTGGTATCTGACCACTAAATTATTGTTGTCGCTTTGATGAATTTAATACAATGTAATGCATTTTTACAATGGGAAATCTGGCTGTTTTGAAAGGTTCATTCATGAGTTAAAAGCAAAACAAAGGACGAGAGAACCAACCCCTTGCATGTTGTTGTGATTTACAATCACGACCGTTTCAATATCTTAATATTAAGCAAACCTTAATAAATGTAATACAATGTACAAATGAAACGGGGTACTCTTGAAGTTTCTTTCACCCCCCCCCCTCTCTCTGTCTTTTTATCTCTCTCGCTCCCTTTCTCTCTCTCTCCCTTCCTATCTATCTATCTATCTATCTATCTATCTATCTATCTATCTATCTATCTATCTATCTATCTATCTATCTATCTATCTATCTATCTATCTATCTATCTATCTATCTATCTATCTATCTCAGATACATAGCCCTCTTCCAATGGCACTATTAACTCAGGTGGTAACTTGTTAGATTACTGAGCCTATAAATTTGGTTCGTATCCTCAAATGGGCTTTCTGAACTAGGATTGGTTGGGGGAGTTTTTAAGGTTCCCCGCCCACTTGGCTTGGCTCAAACGGAGACAGACGTTAAATTGGGAGGCTCCACTTTCCTTTAAAAATCTTACACATACAGTGTTGAAAGGGTGTTCAAACTACATATTAGCGATTTTTTCCAATGGATGCCACGTTCTGTCTTCTTTTCTTAGGTTCTAAAAGTTGTATTTGTGTATAAATATTTCCAAATTTGTTATTGTAATATTCTTCGCTCCCATTGACAAAAATTATATCATTTAAGAGATGGGCTGCTTTGAACTTGTCTCCTACACCTGGCTGAGTGGGACACAACACCACAGAAGACAGATGAAGATAATTAATAAAAGTCCCCCCCCCCCTCGAGAATCGAACTCACGTCTTCTGCATGGAACAACAAAGAGTCAGTTGCCATTCCACAAAAGATACCCGAGGTAGAGAGAACATACGTGAGAAAGGCATGTGTGTTTGTAAGGTACACTTAGGGGTAAACGAAATTTCAAAATTTCTGTGATATTAAAACACACCTCACGCATTCACATGCTTATGGCATCTTGACAAAACATTTTTATTCCGCTGGTCTTCATTTCAAATCTGGCTCATGAGAGAATAAATAGTGTAATTCGGCTTAAATTTCACATTAAATATCACAGACAGAGGGGGGAAAATCTGCTTAATAGCGGGCGGGTGCAATACATTTAAGTTTTTTTCTAGGGAAATTCACTTAATACACCTATGTTTACAGTCAGAATTGTATGTATGGTGAATGCTATAAGTCTGACTTATTGTGTGCCTCGTCCATAGTATTAGTGTGTTCTATTGTGGATAATGTTAATGGTATCTACATGTCCTTTTGCTTATGACGTCATTGGTAATAGTCTGTCCTATTGTGTAGGATGTAGGCCTACAAGTCTGTCCAGTTGTGAGTGACGTCAAAGGTATCAACCTGTTCTATTGTGAATGACGTCAAAGGTATTAACTTGTCCTGTTGTGTATGACGTCAAAGGTATCAGCCTGTCCTATTGTGTATAACGTCAAAGGTATCAGCTTGTCCTGTAGTTTATGATGTCAAACTACAAGCCTGTCCTATTGTGTTTGACGTCAATGACATCAGTTCAGCCCGTCTCGAGCGGGGATGATCCTCTCTAAGGCCCTGGCCACCGCTAGAACGGTCACCTCGTCATACCTCCGGCCCACGATCATCACGCTGTCCGTCTGCCCATCGCCAGGTTTCCCTAGAGGTAAGGTCAAGGCCGGGTGCCCCGTCATGTTGGCTGCCACCGTGTTGCCACTCATGTCCAGGCTTTGAGACACGAAGTCTGGAAATCATGAATGATAGCTGCTATGTATTATTGCGTTTTAAGAAGAAGAAGACGAAGAAGAAGAGGAAGAAGAGGAAGAAGAGAAAAAAGCAAAAGAAGAAGAAGAAGAAGAAGAAGAAGAAGAAGAAGAAGAAGAAGAAGAAGAAAAAGAGCTTATTGAGCTACCCTATGAGTTCATAGGTAGTGGTAGTGATGTGGCACAAGGATATCATAGACATTTCCAAAACGGAACATCCACACATAGTTAAAAGGAGTACAATGTAAGGTTTCTATAAGAATATATATTACATGTAATGTCATGCATTTAGGGGGTGTAACAACAAATACAATGGACTCTGAATAAGCTTAACGCGAACAAAGCCAAAGACAATTGAAGCCATATTTTTTTCTCTGCTGTTTGAGCTACAATCTCTCTAAGCCAAAAGTACTGCTTTTACTCAACCAAACCGAGGAAAATTCGGCCGTGGCTCACATTTCCGTTTAAGCGGACTCCACTGTAAATTTACATGTAATAGAATAATAACTGGTAAAAACAAATTTCGACCTCTTCCCCCTTCATCCATAATCAAAATAATTCAAACGTGTCTTTCACGCAAGACGTCACAGCGACCGAAAACGCTATCCTAGAATGGCAAAGTTCTGACTGCTTGGTATCTAATTTTGAAAAATTTGACAGAAAAAAAATGTCGAATTTTACAACATGTCAAGTTTTTAAAAATGAAATTCTTTGAATATCTTCCTAACGACTTCTAATAATTTTATGATTTTGACCGAGCCAAAAGAACATATTTGGTTTCTGACATCATGGTATTAGCAACTCAAAACCGCCAAAAATGCCAGATAGAACTTTGTAATTCTGAGGAAGCCAAATGTGGCCCCACGGAATGTGAAGACCCTAGATATGCACACCAGGTAAAGTGAGTTCTGAATGGCGAGGGGGGGGGGGGCGGCTTATGTTTTCTTTTACCATTAAGCTGTATGACAACTTGTCCCGATGCCAGTCTACACTCAATGGAGACTGGGAAGTTTAAAGAGTGGGTGGTTGGCAGGTGCTCTAGTATAGTTTGTCCCTTCTCTCCTGTCAAGAATTTATTTTCCTTATCTGTCCTCTTTCTTTTTTGTGTATGTTACTCTCTGTTAATACCCTTAATCTTCGGTATTTCTAAGATTTCTATCAGTGATACAAATACAGTAAAACGGTTTCCAAAACTGAACTCACCTAAAGCATCCTTTGTAGGGCTGTCAGTCTGACCTATGAACCCAGGCGCCCGGTGCGTCAGGGTTGGCATGACAATGACGTCACACCCCTTCAAGGCGGAGTCGTACTGAGCAGAGAGCTTCAGTATCAGGTTCCGGGCCTTCGCGGGGTAATGGTTGCCATAGCGACGCTGTATCAGCTCCCCGGCCAGGGTGAACCATTTGGCGCCGGTGGAGAAGGGCGTGGAGGGCTGTTGTAGGCCGCGGCGTACTGCCGCCTCCAGGCTGGTGGGGCTGTAGCCCTGTACGTGGTAGCTACAGGCTGGTGAGCGGTAACATAATCTCATGTAATTGTAGCACTTTTGTAAAAAAAAATAATAATAAAAAAATACTGATGATAATAAAAATAGTAATAATAGCAATAATAATATTAAAATAATAATAATAATAATAATAATAATAATAATAATAATAATAATATTAATTTAAAAAAATAAATTATAATAATAAAATGAAAATAATAACAACAACAAGAGCAATAATAGTAATAATCATCTTATTATAATGGAGCTAAGCCCGTTTGTGGGGTCAGTATACCCTTTTAACACAGATGCCCATAAAATTTACAAAAATATGATTCAGACAAGAATAATTGTCCCAAAGGGTTACGTGGGCATATTTTCAAAGTTCGGGAACTACCTTTTGATTTTTCAGGTTTGATGGTTTTTCTAGTAAATCGAAGCTCCCAGAAGTTTTCACTCTGCCATTAGCCATTTCATATTTTACTGGGGACTACTTCCGTTTCATATTGGGCTTCTTCGTGCATGTGAGTAGTTCGCAAGAACAGAAGTGCGGATTGACGGTGAAAGTTCGTGGTTCGGAGGTTCGTGTAGACAACTCTTTTATTGTTCCGTACAACCTAATACTGTCTCTTAGATATAAAGCGCACATAAATGTTGAAATTTTCCACTCTGTTCAGGCTGTGAAATATATTTACAAGTACATCACAAAAGGGAAAGACTGCATCCTGATGGAGGTTCGAACAGACACTGAAAATGATGAAATCTCTAGATATGTCGATGCTCGATACATCTCTGCAAGTGAGGCTTTTTCGAGACTGTATGGATTTGAAATCCAGAGTAAATAATTTATTCAATCATTTCATTGAACCCTTCAGTGTTAATTAACGTGTCTTTCTTTCCTGTACACAGACAAGAATCTCAGGTGGCACTTTAAGAATAGTGTTCTGACATTCATGCAGCCAAGTCCTGGCGACAGACAACATTCTCTCATCAAAGATTTTCTTAGAATTAAAGGAATAAATAAATGCATAAAAATAAATAAATAGACAAATAGATAGATAGATAAATAAATAAACAAATAAATAAATAAATAAATACATAAATTACACTCAGTTAATCCGTGTGGGCAAATTTTGGTTACAATGACAAACATACATACATAAATACGTAATTATGAATGCATACATTATACATAAATACAAAATTATAAATACATGCATGCACATAAATATAAATACTTACATAAATCTACGCAATACCACACCAATACAGAACAGTTTCACAAACATGCCATTGTATTGTTGAAGTAATCGGTCAAAATAATACTTACTCCCTTCGCGCATGTTGGCTCTGATATTCGGCACGATACACGACACAAACAAGGCGCCACCTGCAGGAATTGGTTTAGTAAGAGTTTTACGGCACTTGCAACACAATGAGGTCGTATAAGTGCCTAAGATTAGAGGTGTTGCAAGAGAGTAACAAACTCAAATAAGAAGGAGGAGAAATAAGGACGATAGATGTTTGATAGGAAAGAGGGAGCAAACCACACCAGAGTACGCGCCAACCACCCACACCTGCAGAGAGATGGTACAACGTTACTGATACTGATACATGTATCTATAGTTGTGTGACGAGTGTGTGTCTGGGTCCATGCCTGTATACAATGTGTGTGTGTGTGTGTGTGTGTGTGTGTGTGTGTGTGTGTGTGTGTGTGTGTATGTATGTATGTATGTGTGTGTGTGTGTGTGTGTGTGTGTGTGTGTGTTTGTCAATGTATGTATGCGTGTGTGTGTGTATGTGTGTGTGCAGGTGTGTGTGTGTATGAGTGTGTGAGGGTGTGTGTGTGTGTGTGTGTGTGTGTGTGTGTGTGTGTGTGTGTGTGTGTGACAGACAGACAGACAGACAGACAGGTAGGTAAAAGGATGAATGGAACAAAGGACAGGAGGATAAGGAGTTGCAATACGTGCTCCTTCTTTCCTATCAAACACATTAAAGATATGATTGGAATAGATGGACTGATGCATGGACGACTAGATAGACAGGTGGACCAAAAGACGGATGGACAGACATAAAGTCCATAGACAGTTAGATAGACTGATAGATGAAAAGATAGATACCAGACTGACAGACAGACGGACAGTCAGACGTTATATATATTATGTTTGGTGTTGAGCTGGGCTTTGTTGACAGTAGACAGATAAACAGACAGACCGACAAACAGACAGACATACAGATAGGCAGACAGACAGATAGGCAGATACACAGACAGTTGGTCAGACAGACAAACAGACAAACCATCAAACAGATAGACAGACAGACAGACAGACAGACAGACAGACAGACAGACAGTCAGACGGACATACAGACTGAGAGACAGACCGACAGATACCATAAGTATGCAGGGGTACAGAGACGTCTTTGGTGTGGAGCTTTGCCTTGCTGACGGTGGAGAGGAAGTCACTGACACAGCGCTGACTGTCCTCCGCACACAGAGAGAAACCTTCCTTGAGTACACCCAGAGTTTTGCCAGACACCTTGGTGGAGTCCAGCTAAAGAAGAAAACACGACTACTAGCCCATTAAAAACTTTTTAAAAAACCCTGAAATATCACACATACGCCAGTACAGCTGGTGGTGGTATGTAACCCACTAGTAACTGCTGTTAGTGGTAAGAGGGCTGTTCCAGAAAAAGCAAGAGAATGGCTATAAAATGAAACATTTGTCATAAATAAGATACAATTTACAACGTACACAGTTAGTTGGCTAACCATTCTCTTTACCCCTCAATGTAGTCTCCACGAACAATAAAGTGTTGTTTTTCTATGGCTATGTGAGTAAATGTATGCCAAGTCTATAAAATTTCACTTCAAGCAACCGAAGCCAATATCTGCCGCGCTCCACCAAGTTTGTGCCATCACTGATTTTCTCCACGGCTAGATAATATCAATTCACTGGTCCAAACAGATGGAAGTCTGAAGAGGAAAGATCAGGACTGTGATCCAAAAAGCTTTTTCTTTAAGTTCATGAACGTCACCAGCATGCCTTGTTTCCATTTTGGCATGTGCATTTTCCCTGCATCGTTCCAACAAAGATAAGCTAAAACATCGATGTGTATGCTTTGTTGTCATCTGTCACTTGCTTTGGAACTCATCGAGGTGTCACCTTTCTGTATCTATCTGCACCCCATCTCATTAAAGACAGGTCTGTGAACTATTAAGTTAGATCTAGGGCATCCGTAATACCACGAATTTTGAATTTCCTGTCACCACGAATGAGTTTTTTCCATGTGTTCAGCATTTCATCTGAATTGGCAGGCAGATATTAGTGGCCTTTACTTTACTTATCATGTATATTCACATTATGCTTCTCTTTGGAAGAATTGAATCTTTGACTTGCTTAAAACATTGTTACCATTAACACTTTCAATTTCTGCCCGAATTTTAGTGCGATTTTTCCCTTTTGTGAGAAGAAACCAATTCATATGTACAGCTGCACTCTCTTCATTTGACCGATTTTGTATAGTGGTTACATCTTTCTTTTGATGTAGTAAAATAGTAGAATTCATTTCTTTCAATTTAATTGAACATCCAAATTGAGTATTCCTTGAATTGTTAAAAACGTTTTACTAAATTGAGAAATATTAGACAGTTATTTAAATATGGCAATGTTCCTACTGTTTTTTGAGACAGTCCTCGCATGAACCCACCAAAACTATTAATCATCAGTTATAAATATCCAGCTCTACAGCTGTCATAAATGACAAGTAACCCATCATCATCATCATCATCATCATCATTGCCCTTCTCACACTGGACCAGGGTATGCGCTACGAGCAAACACTTTCCACCTTTTGACATTCCCTCCCCCCTCCCCATAAAAAAACCCATCCACATCTACACCCACCCACACCCCCCCTACTATATACATACACACAAAGAGTCTTTGTTTGACTTACCAACTGAGAGTACTTTGGTATCTTTAACACGTTTTTCTGACGTCCGTCCAACCCATCTGCTCCCGCCATGACCTGGTGATGGCATCGGCAAGTTAAAAAAATTACAGATTCAGGTTGCAGAGAGGTGATTGGAAAAAAAATTAATGATAATAATTTCAACAGACAAACTGGAGAAAGAGGCTGAAACAGATGTAAATACATTGTGAAAGACGAAGGCACTAATAGTGATAGGGCGGGAAAGTGGGGGGAGGGAAGGGGGGGGGGGGGAAGGGGGGGGGGGGGGGGGAGAGAGGGGGGAGAAGAGAAACAAATACCTATCCCCCCTCCCAATTTTCAATTCTCTGGCGCACAAGCACTATAACCCACTCGCCCTTCCCTCTTCCCACGTTCTAGTTCTCTGACGCACTAGCCAGCACTATGGACTTCACCCCCACAATCCTGGACTGGTTCGGCGTCCCTTACCCAGACTACGCTCTCAACGGTCTGAAGGTCAGCCTAACAGGACGCTCACTACTTCCTCTGACGTCATCACACCTGGGGGCGGAGCAGGATTTTAGTGTGGTGTACAGCAGTCATGACTTCCATGAGGTGAGCTCGGATTTAAATGTCATTTTTTTCTGACCATCTTTCCAGGGTGACCACAATGGCGTAATACAATTAATGCCTGCCTGGCCTGCCCCACGATGATGTAACACAACTGTCCGTCTGCGACACGATTACGCAATGCAAATGTCCATAATCTGTCTCATGACGGCGTAATACTAGTCCCATAATGACGTAATACAAACGCCAGTCTGTCCTATGATGACGTAATACAAATGCTCGTCAGTCACATGAGGACGTTGTACACATGTCCGTCAGTCTCGTGATGGCGTGATACAAATTCTTGTCTGATCCAGGTCAATGCCCGTCTGTCCCATGAAAACATAATACACTTGTCTGTCTGTTCCTCAATGACATAGCACACATGACCGTAATGCCACAATGACGTAGTACGCGTGAGATCCGTTTCCCCCATCGCGAACTAGAGTCTAGGTCTCTATGGTTTGCCCATAGGCCTTCTCAGACAGCCTAGGTTTGCCCCCATGATGACGTAACACACATGTCCGTCTGTCCAACAGGTGACCATGCCGTACCCAATGCGTGTATTACGTCAAGGGCAGTACAGACTTATCCATAACCTCAACAACAGGATGCCCTACCCTCTGGCCTCGGACTTATTCTACTCGCCAACCTACATGGAGATTCTTAACAGGTATCTGGCTTTTGCTTTAAGATTTGTTTGTTCGTTTGTTTGTTAACGGTTCGTATTTTTTCTTTTTTTC